GAAAGAGCGATAGCAATAACCAGGGAGAAGCAACCACCTGCCGAGGCAGTGCAGGCCTCTCTCTCAGAGACAGGCTGCATCGAGCGAGGGACCAGACACGGGACCACGAAAAGGGCCGCGGAGCCTCGAGCGAGGGCCGCGGAGCCTCGAACAACACGATCATCTCCAGTCCTAGTGCTGCGCGGGAACCCGCAGCGCCGCCTAGTCGGCGCGCCCGCAGCGCAGGGGCACGCAGGGGCAGTTACAGCAGCGGCAGGCAGCTGCTGACCCTCGCGGTGCCTCAGCCCGCCGCACGCGGGCAGCGGGCACGTCGTCAGCACCACCTCTCGGGAGAGACGGCTGCAGGGCCAGGACAAGGGAGCACGCACGGCATCTGCACGTGCAGCTTTCTGATCCTCGCGACGTCCATGTTCAGGACGCTGATCAGCTTCGGGGCGTGATTCAGGATCGGTTGCGGCAGCTTCACGCCATGCTTGTCAGCTCTCTGATTGCCCCTCTTCAGGACGCTGACTGCGAGGTGCGTGAACACGAAGCCCTTCAGGAGGAGAAGCATTGCCAGGTCAATCTTGGGAACACCAGAGTTGAAGGCGAAGCCCTCGGGGCGCCCAAGAGGCGGACTGCGAACATGATCAATCACACCAGGGCTCCGCGTAAGGATGACGTCGACGTCGTTCACGAACTTTGCCAGGCTCCGTGATACGGCACACGCAATTACACGCGAAGCCGATGGGAGCCAGCTTCTTGGCCATCTCCACCCTGACCTGGCGCATCTTCCCGTATCGACGGCCCGCCTGCGCGAGGCCCTGGAAGCGGGTGCCCGCGGCAGCAGGCGTCTTGCGCAGGAGCTCCGATGGCCTGGAGAGCAGGAGCAGGTGAGGCTCCACGGGTGCCGCCCGAGACCAGGAGGAGGAAGAGCACTCGTTCGGTCGCTGTCCCTCCGCCGTTGTGTTTTTCCTCTGACCCTCGCTCGTTTGTCTTTTTGCGGGCCCTCGCTCGGTCCTATGCCGCTGGGGGTCAGCGCCCGGCTCCAACCCACGTCCAACACAAAACAAACAAGGATGAGGAGGAGGAGGAGGAGGAGGAGGAGGAGGAGGAGGAGGAGGAGGAGGAGGAGGCGAGGAGGAGGAGGAGGAGGAGGAGGAGGAGGAGGAGGAGGAGGAGGAGGAGGAGGAGGAGGAGGAGGAGGAGGAGGAGGAGGAGGAGGAAGAGGGGAGGGGGGGCAGCGGGAGAGGGGCTGGGGGAGGCCCACCCCCTCGGCTCCTCTCCTTGCCACCGCTGAGCCGCCTCAAGGACCGAGGCCGGCCGCAGCGCCGATGCCTCCGCGGGGCCTCCTCTTGTGGTGCCCGCGGAGGGCTCGGGTGGGGGGGGGCCGCCCGAGACCGCTGGGGGCCCCGGAGGGAGGAGGAGGGGACAGAAGGTGCAGTGGGAGGGAGGCCGAAGAGGAGGGGAGGAGGGAGGCCGAGGAGGAGGAGGAGGAGGAGGAGGAGGAGGAGGAGGAGGAGGAGGAGGAGGAGGAGGAGGAGGAGGAGGAGGAGGAGGAGGAGGAGGAGGAGGAGGAGGAGGAGGAGGAGGAGGAGGAGGAGGAGGAGGAGGAGGAGGAGGAGGAGGAGGAGGAGGAGGAGGAGGAGGAGGAGGAGGAGGAGAGGAGGAGGAGGAGGAGGAGGAGGAGGAGGGAGGAGGAGGAGGAGGCGGAGGCGGAGGCGGAGGCGGAGGGGAGGAGAGGAGGAGAGGAGGAGGAGAGGAGGAGAGGAGGAGGAGGAGGGAGGAGGAGGAGGAGGAGGGAGGGTTAGGAGGAGGAGGAGGAGGAGGAGGAGGAGGAGAGGAGGAGGAGGGGAGGAGGAGGAGGAGGAGGAGGAGGAGGGGGAGGCAGGGGGGAGAGGGGCTGGAGAGGCCCCCTCCCTCCTCGGCTCCTCTCCTTGCCACCGCTGAGCCGCCCTCAAGGACCGAGGCCGGCCGCAGCGCCGATGCCTCCGCGGGGCCTCCTCTTGTGGTGCCCGCGGAGGGCTCGGGTGGGGGGGGGCCGCCCGAGACCGCTGGGGGCCCCGGAGGGAGGAGGAGGGACAGAAGGTGCAGTGGGAGGGAGGCCGAAGAGGAGGGGAGGAGGGAGGCCGAGGAGGAGGAGGAGGGAGGAGGAGGAGGAGGAGGAGGAGGAGGAGGAGGAGGAGGAGGAGGAGAGGAGCGGAGGAGAGGACCAGGCAGGAAGGGAGCAGGAGAGGAGGAGGAGGAGGGGAGAGGGAAAGAAGAGGGAGAAGGAGGAGGGACAGAAGGTGCAGTGGGAGAGGGAGGCGAGAGGAGGGGAGGAGGGAGGCCGAGAGGAGGAGGAGGGAGGAGGATGAGGAGGAGAGGAGGAGGAGGAGGAGGAGGAGTAGGAGGAGGAGGAGGAGGAGGAGGAGGAGGAGGAGGAGGGGAGAGGAGGAGAGGAGGGTTAGGAGGAGGAGGAGGAGGAGGAGGAGGAG